GAGAAGATGACAACTGATGACAGCGATATTTCTATAACCATCAGACTGCACAGGCCAGCTGTTTCCAGCTGATTCCAGACATTAAGTGAGTCAGACTGTGTGGCAGAGCCATACTGGTGACATGGACAACAAGCAGAAAAGAAAAGAGTAAAACTGAGTAGAACAAATATCATTAATGGAGGTGAGGATGTTAACATTCTAACCTTTATTGCACTAAAAGTAACCTTTGAAGGCGAGCATGTCAAAGTTTGAACGCAGCATTATTTTTATCTCAATATTTTTCTGAAATACAAACTAGTCTCAGTTTGTTTCAATTTCAATTCAGTTTCAAAGCCTTTATTTTAAAATTAGGCTGAAGGAGCAAAGAATAATTCAGAAACTGCTGATACAAAGATCATTATACACACCAGAGCATCGGAGGCCACTGTGTTTGCAGGCAGCTGTAGAAGCAGTAATACTGCTGCATGCAGATAATGGACTGTTAGCATTTGCAATGCAGTTTAGGTTTGAAATGGCTAATTTCTCTGCTGGTGCAGGTCCAAAGTAGGGAAGAGTCTCCACAGCATCACCACATTTAAGCTCCTGACAGATGGTGTTTCCATTGTTAGTGTCTTTGAGAGCATCCTCGCACACAGGGATCCACTTCCCCTCATACTCCACCTCTACGTTTCCAAAGCATTTGTAACTGGGAATGCTAAATCTGGGCTTGACACTACCTGCAAGAAAACAAAACAAAAATAATAATACCATATATTTATAATAGTCTTATTTTATTTTTAATTAGAATTTTAAGCAACAAGAACTATCATCATCTTAGTGTAAAGAATTTCAGTCTGATAGCTTCAGAAAGATTTATATTTGCTTCTTTAACACAAATGAGCGTAATTATGAAAAATAGTATTTAAAAAGATATTTTTAAAACATTTGAAGGAACATTTAAAAACAGACTTATGTCTTTTTGTTTGTTTTTTACATTCTGTTATCCTGTAACTTAGTGACTGAAGAATCAACAAACCAATAAAACTGGCACTTTTCTCCAAAGGGTCCAAATCAGTTGAAAATGAAACTTTTTAAAAAGCAAGTTATGCCATTTATTATATGTTTGTAATATAAAATTACTTTTAAAAAACAATTACCTGAGCAAACAACATAGGCTGGTTTTTGTTTACAGGAGTTATCATTGTCCTGGTTTTTGACAAAGATGCTCTGTGTCAGGTCAGTAGTCTGATTTGTCGGGTGTAAACTCTTAAAGAGGATATCACCATCTTTGGGACTGTTGTGGGCTTTTATGGGCGTCCCACAGTTCAGCTTTTCACACAGCTTCACAGACTTGTCTTCTGTCCAGGTGTCTGCACACATATCTCCTTCCTTCTCTTCTACACGAATCCTGACTTTTCCCCAGCAGCTGTTCGTCAACCTCATCTTAATATTTCCTGTTGTGAAATGAAAAAGTTAAATTTAAGAGGAAACTAGTATCAGCAGATATTTCACAACTTCTTAGACCAAGCTAGGTTTCAGAAAAAATAGAAAATAGTAGAAATTTGATTGAGAGAAAACAAGGAGGTGAATGTAATCTATGGACATTAAAAGGTAAAGTCTGTTATAAGTAAATTGTCTCTTCTTGATAAATGTGACACAATAAATCAATTCCATAATGACCTTATTCTTAGTTTTATACTTTAACTCCTTCATATTTCACATTACCTGAACAGTTCACATAAGCAGTAGAATTATGGTGGTCAGGAGGCAGAGGTGTAGTTTGGTTACACTCAAAAAGAGACTTTTTTCTGGATGAGCAGCTAAAAGAGTTTTTCCAAACTTTATTAATCATATCAGCCTTAGAATTGAAAGAAAACCTGGAAGCGTTCCCACAATGCATCTGCTGACACACTGTGTCTGCAGACTCTTGGTTCCATGTCTCTTTAGACCCAGAGAGCCAGTAGATTTCTCTGCCATGCTCTATCCCCACGTGACCAGAACAGGTTCCACTTAAAAACACCACCTTGTGACCTGATGGACACAAAGAGAGAAACATGATATACAGTAAGTGGCTGTGCAGGTCGTCTACCTGTTGAAAGGTCAGTGGTTCACAAAGACATAGACACAAAAATAGGAATTAAGTGATGTCTTGTGACTGGGTTAATTGGGCTTGTAGTAAAAAGTGCTTTGACTTTAAAATGCTGAATGTGTTTGCTGATAGCTGAGCAGAATAATGATTCTCTACTACTTTCAGCAAAACACACTCTGGGTGCTCTAAAGGAGTAGAAAAGCATTATATATATGTATGAGCACCAGCTAGTTTTTGTTTGCAGCGTAGGTGCTGCATTCTGGACCAGCTAAACACGAGCTAAAGAGGACCGAGAGGTGCATGTGACAAGTGAGTCACAGTACTCAAGATGACAGAAAATTAAAGCGTGCAATAAAAGTTCCACAATGCTAAGTGTCAGTAAGGGTCTGAAATTTGTGATGTTTCCTAATTAAATGAGAGAAATAGACTGGGTGAGCGTTGAGATGTGAGATTCAAATTTCAAATCAGTACCAAAAATGATACGAAGGCTCTTAAATGATGATTCGGTTTTACTGTAACAACTGACAACTTCAGATTTTTTTGAATTAAGGTGAAGGAAATTTAAAGACATTAAAAGCAATGAAGAATGCTTGTTATTTATTCCTGTTGTCTTACTATTTCATCAGTTGTCATCTCTTTGTTATCACTCTATAAAATCATTTTATTTACACAGCAGTCAGAAGGGTAGCTAAACTTCAAAAGTGTAAAACTTTAAGTTGATGCAGGATCATAATGTCATTTCTGTGTGCAGAGTGTGTTATTTATATCATTCAGATCCTGTTGGTTACATCATGTTTTGTGAACTTTTTATTTCTCTTGTCTGTCTCAGAATGGAGGACGATGGTACCTTACAAAAAGGCCTGTAGTGGAACAGTGTTGGTTCACTGGAGACAGGGACTCAGTGCTGTTTCCAGAGAAAACTTCAATGAAACTGAGAAGGAAAAGCTTTGCCAGGATATGGACTGTGGTGGATACCAATCAACAAATGAAATCCACCCCCAAACAATTGAAATAGATTCTTTTTGGAACAAAAGCTTCAGCTGTGGTGAAAATCCAGGAAGCATTTGGGAATGTGAAAATAAAACCACACCCTCAAGGAAGGAGCCCGTCTTTATTAAATGCAAAAGTAAGATTTATATCAGCAGGACTGATCTTAAAGAGAAGATTAACTGATCATTTCTACCTCAGTGCTTTATGTCTTTATCAATACTTGACTGCAGTGTTTATTGCTTTCCTTCCCAGAGGAGCCCAATGTCAGCATTTCACAGGACTGCCATGGGGAAGTGAGGATAGATGGCGTTCCAGTGTGTGCTAGTAACTGGGATCTATCCTACGCACACAAAGTTTGCCAAGAAAAGCTTTGTGGCAATGCTGTCTTCATTGAATCCAAAGCTCCATCAAAGGGTTCAGGTAACATTTACCATGTCAGCTGTGAAAAGTACCATTCCATCATTGGCAAGTGCAGGAGGACTAAAGGAAAGTGTGACACAAATGTGGTGTTCATTACTTGTAGTGGTAAGTGTGAGTCCATACACCTCTCTTTCCATAAACTCATCCCTATATACAGTACATACATGAATGTCCTCTCTTAATTCTGGTGGTATTTAAATTTATTATCTTGGGGTAATTTTTAGGTATTTATTTTATAAAACAGAAGATTATTTCTTTAAAATAAAAATGACATTGTCAAGCTCATTATAAGATAGTGAAGCTACAAATAATTTGCATTGCAAACCATGACACTTATAGTCTGGCAGGTTCTGTCTAGAAATCTGAGTTATTTGTTGAAATTTTCTAAAAATAAATATGTGGAACACATGTTTTACACTCCAACTTTAATAAATGTAGAGTGATGACAGGTGCTTGCTTTGCTCCTAGTGATTTTGCTAAAGCTAAGGTGACCATCTCTAACATCATATTTGCCAGACGTGGATGAGCTTGTTTCCTTCTTTAAACACAGTTTCTTTGCTTTTACAGAAAGTGTAAAGTTCCGCACGACTGAAAAACATGGAGGTGTCCTTTATGTCAATTATCGAGATAAGTGGGAAAGAGTATGTCCATTTAGGGCGGAAGAGAAAGAGTATGTCCAAAACTTAACGGCAAAGCTCTGTGAAGAAATTAATAATGAGACCCATAGCGGCTCTACGGAGATCAAACAGGTAAATCTTTACATTTTACGTCTTGAATCGGTCACTGATTTGTCTCATATTCTACAAACCAAAATCATGGACAGTTTCCTGGCTCTGTGTCTCTGTCACAAACTGAAAGCAGGGACTCAAGCGCAGAGCAGGTTGACGTATCAGAACACGATTTATTTACACACCAGTGCAATACTATATACAGTGACGGGGGAAAGTCCAGGATTCCAAGGGATAGGGGAAGGCTCTCTCTCTCTCTCTCACGCTCGCTCACGTCCTTACATCCGGCTCACACACGTCCGTACCGCGGGGAGGTCACAGGTCCGGGAAGATAAACTGGAATAGGGAAGGGAGAAATCACTCACAAATCACGAAGGTAGGGCGTAAAGGTATAAGACCAAAAGAAAGACTAACGTCAGTAGCTCAATCATCCAGCGATGAGAGGATCTGTGACCCAGCCTCAAATAGTAGATCGTAATCAGCTGATCGCCATCAGCTGATCGCCAACAGCTGTGTGAGCCAAGGGTGGGAGCCAGCTGTGAGCTCCGCCCAGGCAGAGAGGTAGGGGAGAGAGAGAAAAAACAAAAACACAAGTGTAGCCCTGTGAGGCCGGCTGGGCAGGCACAGGGACCATGACAGTCTCAGCTTAATGAAGACTGGAATCTCACATTTTAAATATTTAGGTTTATAAAATGGAAAGAAATGCATGAGACTTGTATCTGAATAAACACAACCAAATGTTTGAAACTTTCTGGACACTTTGCTGACACAAAGTTTGCAGAAATATAAAAGAAATTGAATGTCCCAATACTTTTGGTCTGGACTTCTAGTGACTTCTGCTGTGTGTTGCTTCAGTCCGGCCTGTTTTTTACTGCCAGAGAAATTTCAGTGTTTTTTATTCTGGCTGTATCTCTAAATGTGAAAAAGTTTAAATTTGATTCAAGGTCAACTTAGAAACAACACTGGAGTTCACTGATGTTACCATGGACGTCAAGTACGCCATCAAACAACGTTCCTGTGGAAAAGTTTCTTCAGCTACAATATTTTGTGAAGGTAAGAGAAAACCATGAATCCATCAATCAATTACTTGTTTTTGACAGAAAGACACTTTTTGTATTCTGTAACTCTGAGCTGACTTACTTTGATCAGTGTGATACAGATAAATTATGACTGAAACTCACTGTGACTGAATCCAGAAAAAATAATAAACTGGCTGTGTGTGATTTCAGGCTATGAAAAATGGACTCCCACACCACCACCGCTGCCACCACTTTCCTCTATATCCATAGCACCTATTATCATGGGTGTGAGATTTCTTCTTGTAGTGATCTTGACTTTTGTATTTGTACGATTTTGTGTCAAGAGAGCCAGGAGCTCCAGAGCTTCATGTGAGTATATTTATTACACAACTTACACACATGGCTTGTCTCACTTTTAATTGAAAACCTTAAAAAGTGTAAAGATCCCGATTGAACATGAGATCATCCTTTATATTCCAAGTTTAAAACCAAAAAGGGTGTTGCAGACTGCCACAAGAGGGCAGTCTTTACAGGCATTTCAAATATCACCATCACTGCTTCTGACTGAACGAGCAGCCCATCAGCTCAACCAAACATTGCTTGATTGAAAATGTAAATACAGAAGAGAAAAATTAAGCACACCTGTTCTTGTGCTGTGTTTTTCCTGCTCTTGTGCTCCTTGTTACCTCACTGGTACATTAGCACTGTGCATTGGTGAGACAGCTGTTGTTATGTACTGTATGAGTAAATGTGAAATGCTGTAACCTTTCAGTAAGAATGCTGCCTGGGAAAGAACTGGAGTTTGAAGGTGGGAAACATGAAGATGTCATTGACAAAGAAAATGAGATGGAAGACTTCAGTTGTACTGGTGAGTCATTAAGTCTCTCATTTGTTTTTTCTTGTCTTTTTTTCCCTAAACAAATCTTTAGCTTAGTGTCATTTACATACTGTACATCATTAAGATCATATTTTAGTTTGGAAATATAAAAAGCAGTAACACCTTTAACACTTTTTTACTTTACACTGATAATTTTACTTATCATTAGAGATATTATTTGAACAAATTATTATTATTATTTTTGCTTTTGTAAGTTATTTCTACCTAATTGATTTGCATCAAGAACTTCAGTCTCTCTGCTCATAAAAAACAAAACCTCACCTTCTGATGTTGTCTCCTTGTGCACTGCTACTGCTGCTCCCTGCTGACCATTCGAAGACATACACTTTCAATTTAACCAAAATTTGAACAGAGATATAACACAGATGCAAATGCAAAATTCTCGTATCATTGGTGATGAGAGTTAGGTGTCTGGATACAAAGACCGGCGTTTGTAGTCCAGAGTGTCAAAACCCCAGAAATCGTCAGGAGCATGACCATGAACAGCGCTTATTTGATTGATTCAAAATATGTCAAAAGTGAAAACAATCTGCCAGCCAATCAGCCACCATGTTTCCACTCACAGTCCAGTGAAAATGCAAATATTTTAAGCTGTAAACACACAGCTTTCTCTCGCCAGATGTGCCTCATTGCAAAGCAGCACTTTTTAACATAATGCAGTCTAAGTCTGTGATAATAATCTTAAAGTAGAATTACCACCTTTGACACTGTCACAAAATGAAAATGTATACAATTCCCATTTATTAAGATGTTCTTCTGTGCCAGAGTTCTTTTTATAAAACCATTTGCCTATCTTAGATTTATCTCAGATCGTTCCTATTAAACTGTCCTTTTCAGGATGTGAGGTTCAGTTGTCTTTGAAAAACAGTCACAGATCTGGCATGTGGGAGTTTTTTGGGAAATATTTGTTTTTTAAAAAGCCAACATGGTGTAAGTGTTCTCTTGCTATTTTTCATTCAGGAGCCAGATCAGAGGCTGAATTAATCTCAGGGAAGGATGATATTCAAGCAGATGAGACTCGACCTCTGACCTTTCCAGGCACTACTGCCATAAACATCAACACGCATAAAGGTGTCCATAATGAAAGCACTGGCGCTCTAAATTAGTTTGATCACAGTGTTTCCATTTTAATAACAGTAAATGGCAAATAAATTAAAATAAATAAGACTAATCAAAGTTTAACACGTGTCATCTGTTTTTCTTTGTGACAGATGGGGTGACCTATGAAGTGGAAAATCCAGTGGAGAGTTCTGACGACATCAGTACAATCCCTGGAACCACACAGACTACAGCAGAGGTCCATGACAGCCATAAATGACTTAAACACAGCAGCCCCAGGATTGGTGCGGAGGAATGAGGACTAAATGAAAAACGATATTAAAATCTTTAAATGCAATATACATTTAGTGAAATGGGTGAAGGAAAACTATATTTGATGCAAGAACTTGCTGTAAAAACAATAACAATCTCTCTTTTGATACTGTATGGCAAAAACTGTAAAATGCAAAATGTATAAAAGTGATAAGGTATTACTCTGAGTAAAATATAGTCTTTAAAGCATAAATATTCAATATCTTGCGGTTGTCGTCTTGTTATTTTCAGTGTGTCAGTAGATGGTCGTTGAGACACCAGAATCTCAGTTGTAGTAGTTCTAAGCTGGTCTGTTTAGTCTTCATCTTAAAGATGCTCAACTTTACAAATAAAAAAACTATTAGATTTCATTTATTATCTTTTGTGTTTATTTCTTCTCATGGTTGTAGCTTTTTTTCTGCAGCTAATTTAGGGCTAATTTTCACAGTCATGACAACTGTTCACAGAACACATTTTTCTAATAAAATAAATCCAAAAATAAATTATACTTACTTTTTCTGTATTCCAGCCTCTGTAACTTTGATCTAGTAACATTTGCTGTAATATTTACACCTCTGATGAAATCTCACAAATGTTAGCTTTATTTTGATACCAAGATTGTTTAAACAGAGTTTGTAATTGCAGAAAAATACAGGCTCAGAAAGCCACTTGGGGAATAACAGGCTAGTCAGCATTAGCATGCCATTTGAAATCAGGATGAATTATGGGTGTATTGCTGACTAAAACTTACTAGCCAATATTACTGTTGAGCTGACATTACATTTTGTTCTTACCATGGGAAACTGGATAGATGAATACCGCTGACATAAAATGAGTGACATTTTTAGGTTTGCTCCTCTGTGTACATCTAATGCCTGAGAGATAAGCTGTTTCATCAACAAGACGTTTTGAGAGTCACTGAAGTTCTGAAACTGAAACAACGTTCTCTATTATGACTTAAGAATTTATGCCAATGGTCAAAATTAGAGCAGGTGCTTACTACAAATGTTAACCCGAGTCAGGCCATCGTTGAGGCACTGACAGACCGGCTTGTGCAGCTTTTATAAGACTGACAGACCTACTAAGGCCTCGGATGCTTGGTTAGGAGTTAGCCAAGGGCCACTGAGAAGAGAGCCAACGATACACCCAAAGGGACTAATTTGTAAGCAGTGCCCCTCATGTCATATGTAAACATCACAGCCAGCATCGCTGTTAGAGGCCTTGCTGAGGGATCATGGTGTAGGATTAAGTCTGCTGTGTAGCTGAAGCTGAAATAGATACAGCAGAGACATAGTGGTCCTCAAGTGATCCCGATGACAATTACAGAGTCTCAAGTGTCATATGTCCAGAGAAGGAACCAGTTGGGACTTAGAAGCCATATACACAGTGTTGTTTATTTGGAAATATAAAATGAGAAATCATGTTTCTTAACAATAGAAATCATGTCTGTCCACAGCCTGTTTGTTTGTTTGTTTTTATTATTGTTGTTTGGTTTACACACTTGTTACCTCCAAATCATGCTTATTGTAGATGCTGTCCACACACACACACACACACACAAACACATATGCACACACACACTTATTGGAATCAATGTTTTTAAAAATAGATACACCAAATGTAACTTCTCATAAAATTTCCACTCTAAAAATCTAATATGTAGAAAGAACAATAAACATAATAAAAAGTTTACTGCAAGTTCTGAAGTCTGCAGAATCACGAACTTGGTGTGATGCCTTGTTACATAGAACACACATGAAAATATTATTTTAATCTTCTTTTCATGTATGTGAGAAGCAGCACATACATGTGAAAAAGTGTAAGCCTCCTTTCATATTACCTACTGTTTTGAATATTTATCACAGTCACATGTTTCAGATCATCAAAAAATTTTAAGATTAGACAAACATAACCAAAGTAAATATAAAATGCAGTTTTTAAATGATGATTTCATAGATTAATGCAGAAAGGTTATCCAAACCTCCCTGGTCCTGTGTGAAAAAATTATTGCCCCTCTTGTTAAAGAGTTATTCACAGATGAATTAACTGTGAATAACTACATTTTTTTGGAAAGCTCAGTTCAGTTTGACACTCTGGTCTGATTACTGGTAGAATTGGTGAATCAAGTAATCAGTTAAATAGAACCTGACTGACAAAGTGAAACAGGCTAGAAGACCTCAAAAATCAACACATCATGCCACGATCTAAAATAACACCTGAGAAACAAAATCACTGACATCTGTCAGTCTGGAAAGGGTTACAAGCCATTTCTAAGGCTTTGGGACTCCAGCGATCCACAGTCAGGGTCATTATACACAAATAGGGAAAACCTGGAACAGTGGTGAGCTTCCCAGGAGTGACTAGCCGACCAAAATTACCTCAAGAGTGGAGCTAAAATTCATTCAGGAGGTCACAAAAGACCCCAGTGTGGCTGAATTATGAAAATTCTCCAAAGATGAGTGGCCCAAAATTCCTTCACAGCGCTGTAAAAGACTCATTGCTAGTTGTTGCAAATGCTTGATTGCAGTTGTTTCTATTAACGGTGGCCCAACCAGTTATTAACTAATAAACACCTTTCATTTAAAATGTGGATCTGAAAAAATAGGAAATTAGGAAGGGGGCAAAAACACACCACTCTACAGTCAGTGAGCCAAATTCCTCCACTGGCTTTGCTACTAATACACTGCCTGTATTAGTTTTTGAATGACAGGCCTGGAAGTGCACTTGGGTCCCAGAGTGAATTGAAAGAAGACCCTAGTTTGTGTACTGTCCTAAAAATATAGTAAAGTTGGAGTAGAGTTGGAAAAACACATTAAGGACTCGGGTCAGTCTGGTTCTTCCATCCTCAGATCCTGAAACATTCCAATCAGAAAGCAACACTGGTGTCCTGTGTACGTGAACAGCAACAGCAAGACATCTATCAGTGGAGAACAAGCTGCATGAGATTATACATGTAACCTTGTTAAAGAAAGGTCAATAAAGTATGGCAGATGGGGTACAAAAAATAACTCGTGAGGTCATGAATTTGATCTGTTTTATGTAACTGTGTGTATTTCAGCCGTGACCTGCAATCACAGCATTGTAAGATGGTGAAAGATGTCTATCTGTGAATGGTACTCATGACCAATCGTCACTGATCAGTGGTCATGACAATTTGCATATTAATGATCGTCAGTGGTGCTAGTTTCATTCATTATGCAGATTTACTGTGTATAAATTTGGGGAAACCTGCATTCAGCTGAGACTGAAGAAGAATGTTTCTCCCGCTGAAAACGCTGCGTCCAGATAACTAGAATCAACTTCTTGGGGTTTCTCTTTGTACATAAGACAGAAATAACCATATAACTACAGAACATATAATCATAAATTGTATATTTTTGCATGCTAGGTACACACACTTTTTTTTAAATGTTTAGTTTTTACATATAAGAACATAAAGAAAAATCATCTGGACTTCATCATTATTACACCATGTCATTGTTTATTTCACAGAAACTAAGTGAAAATACAAAAGCAGTGTATGAAAAACTAGAAGCACTCTGCTGCAACTGCGTTAATTGTTTTCTGTATGTCAGATTCTCATTGCTTCGGTTTCTCTGCAACCGTCTCTGTTCCCTCCTTTTTTTATTGTTTTGCATCTGTTTTCTCATTTTATGCTGTTTTTGTAGGAATCAAATATAAATTTCATAGATGAAGCTGTTGAGCAATTATTAGGTCATTTGTATTTCTGGTGGACGTAAATTCAAATAAAATTCAACTCTGTCCCTGCAGGCACAGTCTATGTGTTATACTACTCAAAACCTCAAATATACTGTATGTACTAGTGGTGCACGGTTTTAAGTCACGGATCGGATTTTTGGATCAGCAAAAAAAGAAAAAAGACATAAATTTAACATTTACTTATTGAATTATTTTTTGTCTGTTAAAAACATTCAACTCAACACTCATTCCACTCAATTATTAAAAAAAATATGGTGCAATATAGGGCAGTACAGGGCTTTGTATCTACCACTAAATTCAATTCAATTCATTTGTATTTATAAAGCACCAAATCACAACAACAGTTGCCTCAAGGTGCTTTTTATTGTAAATTAGACCCTACAATAATACATACCGCTCATTCTATCGCACTCTGCTATGATATAATGAGCTGTCACGGTCACGTAGCTTTCCATTGCTACACCCATTTGTAGTAGTTAAGGCAACAGAAGATGCCTGGGACAGTTCAGCCATAACTTTAAGCACCCCAATAGCTTTTGTAATAGCTTTTGTAATAGCTTTAGCCTGGTCAGATTGGGCAGCAAAGGGCTGCCTAAATACCGCAAACTCCTCTGCTCCACCACTTGGACCTAAATACCGCAAACTCCTCTGCTCCGCCACTTGGACCTAAATACCGCAAACTCCTCTGCTCCGCCACTTGGACCTAAATACCGCAAACTCCTCTGCTCCGCCACTTGAACCGCTAAGCTGGCCATAACTATCGCTTGACAGATCCACCACGCGCACCATACACATACTTTTTTTTCTTCTTTTTCGAATCTTCTGATCACGTGCATGCCGACCTGTGGAGTGGGATCAGTTCAGATTACGAATCAACCTTGATCCGTTGCACCACTAGTATGTACCATAAGGTACACATGTATTTTAACATACAGTCTGTATCATCCCATATACAAAAAAGACATTACCTTAAAAATAATTAGGTTGTATTGTTAACTTCTATTTAACTTAAATTTCTTTAGTAAGAGTAGCCTGAGCCAAGATAGGCAACATGAATCAGGAACCTCAAAGACTTGAGGAAAGCCCAGAGAAGCACAGGGAGAACATGCAAACTCAAAACACAGGGCCATCTTCTCCTGAGGCACCTCTGCCAATCACCACGCACCAACTTACTGTTACTATATAATTTTTTTATTAGTTAAATGCAACAAATACATGCAGAAAACTCCCGTTTTATTTTTTGTCTGTTTTGCGTACTAGCAGCAAGATGGTGCTGCTTCCTCACAGCAAGAAAGTTCTGGATTCACAGAGTCCTTTACCTCCATATCTGGTGGATTTCTTTAGTTTCCTTCCACAGTCTAAAGATGTTCCTGGTAGTTTTATTGATGATTTTCAGTTCAAATGTGAGATGGATATTTTGAATGGTCAGTAAGACAAGACATTTGCTAGTCTTAGGATGCTTTTACACAAGGACAAAGGCATCAGAATGATATTAAAGATCACTGCAAACCACACGTTGGCTTTGAGCTACATCATATATTTTTATTGTTTTTAAGCAATAAGGAGCTACAAAATCCAGAGAAATGCTGCTTTCTTTTTTCCCTTTTCCCCCGACTTTTACTGCTGATCATTAACCGGTACCTTCTTCAGCCAGTCCTTCTCCACATATGCTCTCACATCTCCCACTGAACACCTTTTTCCTGCATCCAGAGCCAGGAGTTTACCAAACATCTCCATGGCTACTGGAGTGAACCTTTTCCACAAAGGAGGGATGTCCTCCTCAGCGTTAGATCGATTTTCCATTCTCCACCAATCTGCAAACTCTTCGTAGAAGTCATCCGAGTCCACACAGCGCTCCCAGGGGAAGTAGCCTGTGAGGATGCAGAAGATAACCACGCCAAATGCCCAGGTATCCAGACTTGGCTCCACACTCAGAGGTGGAGCAGTCACCTCTTTCTGGCCCTCGGGCAGAGCTACAGAACAAAGTTCAGGGGCCATATAGGGAAGGATTCCTGTGATAAAACGTATCAGGGTTCCTCTCTTCTGGGCAAGTCCAAAGTCCGCCAGCTTCACCTGGCAGCAGAGATTGTCCAGCAGAAGAATATTTTCAGGCTTCACATCACGGTGGACCAAGCCATGGGTGTGGATGAACTCCAAAGCACTGGCGATCTGAAGGACACAGCGTTTTACTGAGGATTCTGGGATACCCACCTAGAGCAAATGAAATTGGAGATGGGCTTGTGACCCTGATATAGAAGCTGGATACAGTCGTTTTTAATATATTTCTAGTGCTCATCATTTCTTTCACCAAACATTAAACATCTAAATGTTTTCTTCTGATGAATGTGAGTTCAAGAAATTTGGAAAACCATTCATATTGGTTGTGAAAGGTTTAATTCAGTCAGCCTAAGTTCAAATTAACCCGGTCCGTTAGAATCTTTTAATTCTGTATATTTGATGGGTCTGCCTCTTAATGTTGTAAAATGTCCCAAGTTTATCTTAGGAAGATTTGAATACAGCCATGGCTTATGGACAGCGCTGAAGGGGTCGTCCCCAGATTTCCAGGGCCAACAGCAGAAATCTACTGATTTTCATTTTGATTGACTGTTTTTTTTTCTTTTTTTGATTGATTGAGATACAGTGAGATACATTTTCCTTTACATTCCTTTGGTGGCCAGAAGATACATCTTAAGTACGTTATTGTATCAACTCTGTCCCTGCAGAGGGACTCAAACATCTTTAGAAAACACACAGAAACACAGGAAACACACATAAACCCGTCAAATGCAGGGCCCTTTTCTCCTGAGGCAACACTGCTAACCACTGAGCCAATATGTTGGCTTACGACAAAATACCTGCAAAACTAATAATATTGCCATCAAATTCAACTGCACTCTGTGGTTCAATTCACAGTTGACGTCTTAACACACTAAAGTCAGATGGTGCACATGTGACAGTAAATTCAAGTAAATGCTTACATTACATTACAATCTTACAAACCCACTATTATGGCTCTAGTTGTAGTCTTATTTTGCAATTGTTTGACTCACTTTTGGTTGAATGACAGCAAAAAGGTCCCTTCCAATGATCAGCTCCTGGGCAAAGCAGTAATGCTCATTAGACTGGAAGGCAATGCCAAAAAGATCCACAATGCAGGGGTGGCAGGACAGGTGCAAGGAGATGCAGTACTCTCGCAGAAAGCCCTGCAGCTTAGTTGAAGTTTTGGGCATCACTTTCAATGCCATGGGAGTCCCTGCAGATCATTCATGTTTTTGTAATTAGTATCCCAGTTCATACACATGTTTGTGTTACTTTGTTAAACAGATAAATCAAACTGATGACAGTTGAATATGATAATTATTTAAGACACAACAACAGAGTATTTCCAAAACGTAGGCTAGCGTGTATGGGTCACCCCCATACACGCTAGCTGTTTCCAAATTGAGAACCTCCAGGCCTCAAGCCAGCCACCCTTTGCAACCCCATGCTATGCATTCAGGCTGTCTACTTTGTCTCCACTGACACCTTTATTGCTCCGCTTTGATTTGACTCAATTGCACTGGGTCATTCGGGTTTCATCATACATCTTATGTTTTCTTCAAGTAGCAGTTTTCCCAAATTTTTAACCTGAGGTTTCTTCACTAAAGCATTCTCTCTCTCAGTAGCTTTTATTTTATTTCAACCCACAGAGATGTCTGGCATGACAAAAAGAACAACTTTGGTGACTTTTGGTAGACTATAAATGACTACGTGTTTTTGGTCTTAAGTCTGTTGAATATATACTTTTCAGAAACATTATATGTCATCATATATTGCATCCTTTTGTGAGAATACAACAGCTAAGTGCAAATAAAAAACAATTTTCTGCCATGTATTAAGAAATGTTAAAACTCAGTATTTTTTTAATCAGATTCCTAACATTAAAGAAGGTAAATTCTGTAACTGATTTCTCCTGGGAAACAAAAGATTTTTATAACACTAATAGAAGGAAACCGGTTATACTCTTCTTTAAGAAGAATAAGTGCAGTCATACCTCTAAAGCGATGTGTAACCAGGAGCACTTTCCCATATTTCCCTCGTCCGATCTCTTTGATGACGTTGAAGTGTTCTTGGATTTCCAGGTGACTGAGGCTCTGTGCTGTCAGCTCCATCAACTCATCAATCAGGTTGCCATCAGGGAGGCCCAGCTCAATCATCTTTAGCCAAACATAAAGCAAAAACAAAGCAAGTGCTTTTTCAAATTTAAAATTGCTCTCCCATGAAAAAACAAACAATCAAAAAAACTCAGTCCCTTGTTTGTGCAAGCAGCTTGTTGCATGCCATCGAAATTTTGGTCAGAGCTGATGTGATAGAGCCACATAGGGTGTGTGCACAGCCATTAAATACTTTAAAAATATTAACTATGTTAAGATTTTGTTAAAGTTTGAAAAGATAAAAATACTGATTTAAATCCCAATTTAAGAACATAAATGAGCATATTAAACAAAAGTTTGACTCTGAATCTTTATCCATGGTTAAATCAAAAGCCAGAGCTGAAATTTTTAACCTGAGGTTTGAGACGCCAGCACAATATTCTGCAAGAAAAACCAAATCTACGATTTCAGGTGAAGTAAGAGTGCAGTTTTTTCAAGAAATGGCTCTTTTGTTTCTGAAAAACTTTAATTTCCAGTGTCAAATAAAATTTATACTATCATTCATACTATTAGGGGTTTTTTTGATCAAGAACATCTACCAATGCAGTCAGATGGTTGTTATTGATTTATTTTTTAAATCACACACATTGTTATACTTGCTATGCATGAGTAAAACTTTTGAATGACATTTACATTTTTCGACGAAAACAAAAAATGGGATTGCAGATTTTTTTTGTACCTGTTTTGTCAGTGGTTTGCCATCTTTAGCCATGATTATCATATTAACCATAATAAAATCTTACCTTTGCTCTTTACTGTTCTTGATAAAGTCACTGGAGTTTAAAAAATGGCAATCCAAACAGACACAAAAAATGCATAGGCTTAAACCACCATTCTTACAACTGACAAAATGCAGCTAATCAATATCCTGAACAAGTGCAGGTTAAATGTCTGTGCTGCCTGTCCTTCACTTTCGCTGCTGCTGCACGAGTGGACTTGAAAGCTTTTCGTTTCCCAGCATGCAGCTTTCAAATGCTGCGATGGGGTCAGTGCCCACTTTGACAGCTGATTACAAACTGCCACTGGGGAGGGCACGCCCACGTAAACACACATACACTATCACACTAAAACCAACTGCACATGTGCATGTAGTATAAATCTATGAAAAACACAAATTTAAACACATTTTCATAAACCTTACTCAATCCTTCTTTTAATGGAAAAAGCAAATGAAATTACAGTTTCAATATTTGTGGCTCTGTCACACACACACACACACATCCTAGCCCCAAACACACACACACAAACAGTGACTTTAGCCTTTTGACAAACCCCATGCAGAAACATGTTTCTTTGTGGTTGAATTAAAATCATCATAAATATAAGTATGGAAATAACCTGGAAATAATATTATTTTTTATTCTTTCCCAGTTACTCTGAAGCACATAAAACATTTCACCCAAATCTAGTTTTAATGGAGGAATGTAGCAAGTTGTGGATACTAGTACTTTTATATCTACCAGTTTTTGCCTGCTTCATACTTCACCAGTGTAGTTTAGATGAAAATATTCTTCTTAAACATATTAAACTCACTGACAGTTGTAAGTGCTTTAGAAAGTACCTTATTACAGGTTGAACTATACAAGAATAATAACAATATCTAAAGTGTATCTTCACTGACTGTAACTGTATCGAGGAAACTGAAATGAATGGACTTTTATTTAAGTATTTTTAGTGTGGTATTGCTACACTGACCTTTTGACTGGGATTTTTTACCACTTTACAAATGAGGCTGAGGTGTCTAAGTAAATATATCATATGACACATGGTTATGATACTCTGATTACATTGCAGATTGGACTCAGTGATCGGTATTTGGAAGAGAGAAAGCAGTTCGCTCTCGAGTTGCATGTTATTTTACTGTGCATGTTTAATGAATGTTGCCATACAGGGTTTGTTTTTACAGTAGCATGACTATAATGAGATTTTTCCTTCTGTACTACAGGAAATAACTAGAGCTGAATGTTGTCTGTGAAGGTTCTCAGTCATCCAGGTCAGCTTGCGTCAGCGTCTGGACTTCTTTAAGACTTCTTTAACTTAAAGAAGTCCAGACGCTTTTCTTTGCAAGCTCCTTTGACTAGAGCTGAATGTTGTAACTCTGAGTATGCTGAGTACTGTAACTCTATATTTTTAGGGATATAAACATCGTGTCCTGCAATAGGGGGTAAATGGCTGCCATGATATGAAGTCAGACATGTGAATTCAAACTAATACTTTGCAAAGTCATCACGTGTGTTCCTAATGTCAAATAAAACACTCCTGTCCTGGACAGTTCTGGTGGAATGGCCTATGTTTTTATTTTGTTGGCTGTCTGCTCCACAATTTTTCTTGCTAGATGAATTTGCACCTGAAATGTAATGAACACATTGATGGTTTTTAGAAAGTACTAATTTTGGTCAACACATGCCTTCATCTAGTGTGATCGTGTCAAGCACCTGTAAAGCTATCAGATGATTTGATTTTAGTGATCCTCTAATTTTCCATCTATCGTCATCAAAAGGATAACATTTTTATTTATGCATTGCTTTGGTATTAAACAGTGAATACTTTCTGGTAGAAAAGCCCAGCTCATAACCGGCATGCCTCACATTTTACCTGTCTGTACTCAATGTGCCAGGGTTGGTATGCATTTTTTTTAATCCTCCATTTTTAGACTTAGCTGACCAAATTGTGAATATTTGGTGTAGACTCTGCTTATTTGCAAACATCTACAATAATTGAACGGTCAAAATTGAGGAAACCTCTCAGTTGTTTCTTTTCTTTTCTTTTCTTTTTAAAAAAAACAAACAAACATTGTTAGCGTGCTATTCTGGGCATTACACACTAATACAACCCCAAAGAACTACTTGTTTGTCTACGCGATTCCTTGATTTGGTGTGCAAATATGCAGCTTTTCTTTCTTTTCTTTTGTTTTTTTGTTTTTGTTTGTTTTCTTAAATTTAATCAGTTTACAATAACTGACAGGTTTTTCATGTTTATTAAATTTTATATGGGCATAAAATAGCCTGTTAATCATCTGTTCTGTGTGCAGAGCCTACTCGTCAAAGCAGAGCTGATAATTATGATTATAAAGGATTTTTATTTTAATAATAAATGCGTTGATATATCTTTGAAATAAGCGTAGCCTTGGATGCATGTTGTTGAAACTTTCACGTGGAAGTGGGTCTTTAAGGGGAAGACAGCACCAGCCCGGTGGGAGGTTTACCATTGTGAGCCATGAATGCACTCAAGCTGTGGCACTTGAACAAACAAATCCTCAGGCTGTCATCTACAACCCAGTGATGTGTCTGTGGTGGTTTTGCTGCACCTGTGTCTCTGTGACTGTGTGTGTATGTGTTTGTTGCCCCGTGTCATGAACACTTAATCTGAGGGCACAGAGCATCCATGTAAACAGAACTAACAACACAAAGAAACAGATACATTGGCATGTTGGTCTCTGCAGGGCTGCGGTGGGATAATGAGGTGTCACTCACTACTAACCGATTCAAGCGGTTCACACCAGGACAGGAGGAATGGTAACTGAACGTAGTATTTAGCACTTTTCCATCTTACTTGTTTTACAAAGTACTTGTGCAAGCTTGTGTCATTTACCCTGTCACACAAAGTTTTACAGGGTTTTTTTGTTTTGTTGTTTTTGTAAGTACCATATGTGGACCTGATGAAACTATATATAGTGTATCTATTTTTTCACTTCTGTGGATTCCAAAAATATCCTGCTATGTTTGGCAGTAGTCAGCGAACATCATAGCAACGCTCTCTCGTCCTCAGTCACGCTGCCATCAGTGATTAAAGTTATGTAGTGGAGCATGTTTGAAGTTTATGATCATCATGTTACGCTGTCACCACTGACATGGAGTCATGTCATTTCTGGGATCTTTTTCATCCCAGGATGGTGCGCAGTAGTCTTCACGGCGCCAGACTGAATCCATATCACAGCTTCCTATCCCGTCTTTGATGCCCTCGTGTACTCACAAGAATTAAATTACAGAGCAGAGGAGTCTCACTTCTCAATATTCCTTTCACAGTTTGTAATTATTTCTAATAAAGATGTAGCCTTTAGCAATCATCACATGGATGCCAGTAGCACAGATGCCAGTAATATTACAGAGACTTTCAACAAAATATATGTTTTACCAGCAGGTAAAAATTATGCCACCACTATCATTACCAAATAAACTGCAGGAAAAATTCATATAGCCCACAGTTCTCTAAAGTCAGTGAAAATCTTTTAGGAACACATGGACATTTGGAGAATTCTGTTTATTTGCCATGTTGCACAGTCACACATGACTTCATACAAGATCACTTTCAGCCTTGTGATTCCAGAACTGAGAGCAGGTCTGGGATATGACTGGCTTTTGCTTAACAACCCAGCCTTGAAGTGGGTGAACTCTTTCACTCCATTAACAGTGAAGAACAGCTTGCAGCAGCAAGTCTGTCCAAATCAGCCGATAAGTTTATAAACTTTTAAACTCATCAGCTTCTCCCTTTGAAAGGTTTCATTTCACACATAGGAAAAATCCAAGTAAACTCCAAGTGAACCAAATTGCTTCCGAGTGTGATTACTGTGTATACATCTGCACAAACAAACTACACCAATAGGGAAAACAAACCAGAGTTTGATTTAAAGGGACGAAACACTGTAGGCCTGAAAGTACCCTTATTTAATCCTGTGAGCTCCCAGACATCATTGGCAGTGAAGGTTCCTGATGTTGGTTATCATTGTATGATCTTTACCTTACAGTATAAAGTATGTTGAGTTGACTGTTTTTGTGATATAAATACAATTAGCTCCATAAATATTTGGACAGAGACAACTTTTTAAAAAAATGTTTGTTCTGTACATTACCACAATGAATTTTAAATGAAACAACTCAGATGCAGTTGAGGTGCAGACTTTCAGCTTTAATTCAGTGGGTTGAACAATTAGAATGCATAAGAATGTGAGGAACTAAAGCATTTTAACACAACCCCTTCATTTCAGGGGGTCAGAAGTAATTGGAAAAATTAACTGAAAAAAAAATTCATTTCTAATACTTAGTTAAAATCTCTTTGTTGGCAATGACAGCCTTAATTCTTGAACTCATGGACATCACCAGATGCTGGGTTTCCTTCTTCTTAATGCTCTGCTGTTTGTTTGTGGGACTTTCTGTCTGAAGTTTAGTCTTAAACAAGTGAAATGCATGCTTGGCCATTCATGAATATTCCACTGCTTTGCTTTAATAAATTCCTGGGTTGCTTTGGCTTTATGTTTTGGGTCATTGTCTATCTGTATTATGAAGCGGCACCCCATCTGACTGCATTTAGATTGCCAGACAGTATGTCTCTGAACACCTGAGGATTCATTCAGCTGCTTCTGCCTTGTGTCACATCATCAATAAACAAATCATTAATAAGTCATGCGTGTCGAAGCCATCACACTGTCACTTTACAGATGATGTGATATTCTTTGGATCATTAGCTGTTCCACACCATCGCCATACATTTTTCTTTCCATCATTCTGGTAGAGGTTGATCTGGGTCTCTGTTCAAAGAATGTTTTTTCCAGCAGTGTGCAGGCTTTTTTGTCTCTCATGGACATCCAATATTGTAGCAATTTATTTATTGTAGCAATGGGTTTTCACAGCTTAAGTATGGCTAATTTCACCAGCAATTTGACAGCATTTTGTCTGTTCACAGCAAAATCTTCTAAACTGCAAATTGCATATTGCAGACACCACACCTCAAATCAATTTCAGGTCTTTTATTTGCTTCATTCCATTATATAACTATAACTGGAATATGTATCAGTTAACAGGTAAAACAACAAAAAACTGTCAGAGTCTAAACATATATGGACCTAAGTTGAAAACTTGTTGAAGTTGAAGATGTTAAACCCAAATCAGTGTTATTAGAACATTTGTTATTTTTTTTCATTACTTTTTGAGCATTATTTCCTTTATTGGATAGTGGAGCAGTGAAGATAGACAGAA